CAGAAAATTTCTCTACTGAGCTTTAATATTTGCAACTGAATTTCTTCCTCACCACTTCTGTGCAAAGTTCTTCCACAGTAGAGGTTTACTGGCCATAAATTGCTTTAATCTGTGCTTCTGTTAGAGGGATTTTTCCTCCTGTCCTTTTATTTCTTAGCATTTTTTGACTTATTATGTTTTAGATTTGATATTTAGTTGACTGAACTTTATTTATTTATTTATTTATTTATTTATTTATTTATTTATTTGAGACAAGGCTTCTCTATGTAGCCCTGGTTGTCCTGGAGCTAGCTCTGTAGACCAGGCTAGACTTGAATTAAAAAAGATCCACCTGCCTCTGCCTCCTGAGTACTAGGATTAAAGGTGTGTAACACCACCACTGGGCTAAACTTTATTTTAATCCAGCAGTTTGTCTTTGAACTTGGCATTTCATATATTACACTCAATTTTAACATTGTAAAATTTGGCTAAATTTATCTTCTTTGTCCTTATTTTTGTTTCTTTATTGTTTTGTTTGTTTTAGAGACTATAAGAAGAAATCTTAGAGTTTTGAACTAACATCTACATCCTGAAATAGAGCAAGTAAAAACTCCCAGGTTGGGTCTGCAGTGATGGCTCAGGGATTAAGAGCACTTGAAACTATTATGGAGGACTGGGGTTCAGTTCTCAGCACCCACATGATAGTTCATGGGGATCCAACACCTTCTTTAGACCAATGCACATTATGCACATACATACACGCAAGCAGGCAAAACATTTGAACACATAAATTTAAATAGGTAAGTCTATTTTTATTTAAACCCATGATGTCTAAGGATCTCTTTAAATTCACTCCCTTGACACACTGCACACCTGGTTGGTTGCTGTGTGGTAAGAGACGCTAGAAGTAGAGTTTACACAATGAAACTGCAAACCTGGTATAGTCCTGATAATAACCTAGACTTCCTAGGCTAACATATGTGTGGGATAGAAACATGAAGTCCTCAGCAGTCCCAGTACTTAGCTGACTGGTGCACAGTAGAAGCTTAGATGGTAGGGAAACAAATAAAGGCAAATTCCTCATCCCTCTGTTTCTCTAAAGTACAAGACAAGGTCAGGTCCTGCTTCCCTGGAAGGTAAGAGTGAGAAGTGAAAGGGGAGGGAGGAGAGTGGAGGAAACTGTGGGGGGGGGCTTTCACTTTCCATAGGAACATGGAAATGAGTGGGAAGAAGCTCCCATAAGGCAATATACTGTGTAACAATACTATGTGCTAGCCCCTTCAACTATAAAATCCCACATCATTCCCAGCATAGCCCAGTAAATCAGGCTTATTAGAAAATAAAAAATAAAAATGAGGTTCAAAAGTGCCAGTCCAGTGACATAACCTGTTGTCTGTAATAGCTCCCTCAGCTATGATCCCAAATCTGCATCTTACTTTATACCACACTCCCTCACTGTGACCCACCACAAAACCAGGAACTCCACCACCCCACAACTTCCTGTCTTCCCAAGTACTTTCTCCTAGCTGTGTGGGGATTATTTTATTTTCTTAAAGGTCAATTCCACCTCCAGTTCCTGGAAATGACATCTTGTATTCTCTTTCCCTTAAAACACAAACAAAATTAAAAATGTAAAGAGTCTGGAATGTGGACCCTAGGTCCAAGCTGAGGAGTAAAGAGCAGTGTGGCTCTGGGTTAGATGCACCATGTTTTAGCAAGACAAGATAACTAGTTGATTGTTGGAATCTCCACTGACTAAGGAGGTAAGCACTCTCTCTGCTGGGGCTTTACTGAAGCCTGGAGAAATGAGGACCAGACTGGGGAAGTCTAACAGGACCAGAGGCCATGCCACCTAACTGGAAAGTAAATCAGCTTCTTAGAGCTGTGGTCAGAGGTTACCACCAATTGGGTGAGTAAAAATGACTTTATTATTCCATAGCTCTGAAAGCTAACAGTTTGGAATCAAGCCATTAATCTATAGGACCTTCCATCTCCTCATAGTCACCGGCAGTCTTTGGTTCACCTCATCCTGTAAACACACCACTCCCATCACTGTCTCTTTCCCCACAACCATCCTTCCTGCATGTGTCTCTCCTCTCCTTTCCTCACACCAGCCATATTGGATTAGTCATTCTATCCCAACATGAATGAACTTGATAATGACTGAGTGAACCTAATTATAACTAAATCACAATCACCAGGAATAGGTGGATATACAGAGATTCAAGATACAATGCACACTCAAGGCCTCCTCAGACATGCAGAAGTAGCAATGACTTACTAGAGTCTTGCCAAGAATTAAAAGTGCCAATTAGTGTGTGTTTAATACACTGGGATTAGAATATTGAAAACATGCAAATCAACAAAATCAGAAATGAAAAGGGGGACATAACAACAGACACTGAGGAAATCCAGAGAATTTTCAGGTCATACTTTGAAAACCTGTACTCCACAAAATTTGAAAATTCAAAGGAAATGAACAAATTTCTGGATAGTTCTCACTTACCAAAATTAAATCAAGAGCAGATAAACAACTTAAATAGACCTATAACCCCTAATGAAATAGAAGCAGTCATCAAAAGCCTCCCATCCAAAAAAAAGCCCGGGGCCAGATGGCTTCAGTGCAGAATTCTACCAGAAATTCAAAGAAGAGCTAATACCACTACTCCTGAAATTGTTCCACACAATAGAAACAAGAGGTTCAATACCAAACTCTTTTTATGAGGCTACAATTACCTTGGTACCCAAGCCTCAGAAAGACACAACTAAGAAAGAAAACTACAATCCCTGATGAACATTGATGAAAAAATACTCAATAAAATACTGGCAAATTGAGTCCAAGAAAACATCAGAGAAATCTTCCACCATGATCAAGTAGGCTTCATTCCAGGGATGCAGGGATGGTTCAACATACAAATATCTATCAATGTGATCCACCATATAAACAAACTGAAAAACAAAAACCACATGATCATCTCAATAGATGCTGAAAAAGCCTTTGACAAAATCCAATACCCTTTCATGATAAAGGTCTTGGAGAGATCAGGGATAACATACTCAAACATAATAAAAAGCAATATACAGAAACCAACAGCCAACATCAAACTGAATAGAGAGGAGCTTAAGGTGATTTCTCTAAACTCAGGAACAAGACAAGGCTGTCTACTCTCTCCATATCTCTTCAATATTGTACTTGAAGTTCTAGCTAAAGCAATAAAACAACAAAAGGAGATCACACATATTTGCTGGTAACAACAATGGCCACAGAAGACTGCTAAGACCACAACCTTACTCAAAGGCTATAGCAACCTTGTAGGAAAAAAGTACTTCTGCAAAGGATGCCCACTCAGCAAGTGCCTGTGCAGGGATGAAGTAACAATACCTTATTGAACATTATAGCTAAAGACTAGCTTGTCAAAACAACTCTGCAACCTTGGTCATTTTTAGCTTTGTGGGGGGGGGGGGGAATGCCTTCTCTTGCCTCCCTGAATGTAATCATGGTTTGTCATGGTAGCATACCCCAGACTACAACCCCTGTCATCTGGAATAAAATGTTTAACATGGAGATATAAGGCTGGAGTAAGGGCAAAAACAGTCAAAGGCGTAATGGGTAGGCAACAGGTTTTGTTTTGTGTTTTTCACAACTTTAACAACTAATCATTTAGTGAGTATGATGTTGCTAAGCTGTTCTTAGTGACAGATGGCCCAAAAATCTACAAATGCTGCACCAAGCCCAGACAGGAGGAGGTCTTTACATGCTAGAAATTGTCTTTCTTTTTCTTCCTTCCTTCCTTCCTTCCTTCCTCCCTCCCTTCCTTCCTTCCTTTCTTTCCCTTTTTATTTTTTTTAAGGTTTTAATTTGAGAGCATTTTAAAGCTTAGGGATCACAGGTCTCAGGTTTCAGCCTAGGACTTACCCTGAGATGCCACTGAGGATGAGAATGAACTTCCGATTTGCCTTTTCCGGGTTCTGGTCCTGTCCTTGGAGTATGAAGGAGGAAATTCACTTAGCTGTGCTAAGTAGTAATGGTTAGTGGTCTCTGCTCACTTGTTCCCTCCAAGGCCACATCCTGAATTGGAATACAAAGCCAGTGGAGTATGTAGGCCAGAGTGGTAAAGAAGAGCCACACTGAAATCTGCTTTCCTCATAATATCACAGATGAAGGGTCTCTGCTGCAGGCATTTGGGGGAGCAGAGGGCAGGGGGACACAAGTCCTGGGCACGGTGGCCTCTGCTTCTGAATTCGACTCCAAGTGCCTGTTTCAAAGAGTAGTTATAGCTCCACAACCTTCTCCTCTTTGAGTTTACCCCAAATATTGTGTGGGAGCTCCTCCAGGAAGGAAAATGAGCCTCAAGGTGCTAAGGTGTGTGCTTGCACCTCATAGACAGTAGCACAAAGGAATCCAGGGGTGGTGGGTCCCACACTTAGTCCACACATCACATATAGATTTAAGCCTACTTTTTGTCAGGAACTACTGGGGCTAACACCATCAGCAGGCAATACCAGCAGAGTCACACAACATATGATGATGCAGGTCAGTGTGGCTATGAGCCACTATGCCCTGGCCCCTCAGCCACTCAGAGTCGGGTCTGCGCGAGTGCGGCTTATGGGAGAAACCGGTCCCTTCTTATCCATGCATCCCCACCTGGCACCTGCACAGGACGCGTTCAGAAAGCGACGGATGCTAGAAGGAACGCAAGAGTGGGTGGAAGGCTGTATGGGTGAACTGTTGTTACACCTGAGCATGCGCAGCCGCAAGCCTGACAGGACGTAGCGGTCTACAAGCCGGGTCACTGAACCTGAAGAGCTGGAGGTGCGAGGGGCGGAGCAGTAAAGAGGGCCCCCGCCACACTCCCAGTAGCCACGTCCCGGCCACGAAGCCTTCTGGGAAGTGTAGTCTGCGCCTGCGTTGTTATCACTGTGAGGCCGGGGGCTGCGGGCGGAAGCGGGACCACCCCCTCCCGGGATGCGAGCTGCGGGGCTGACCCAAGTGAGCCAGCACCCCGGCTCCGCGCGCGACCCGGTCCCCAGCCCCGCCTCCTGTCGTGAAGAACTGGGCCGCTGTCCTCGAGGGTCTCGAGGGTCTCTGTGCAGCCTCCTGCCTGAGCCGCGCCGGAAACTGGGTGGGCCAGGGAGTCGCGAAGCTGAGTTCCGCCATGGCGCTCCAGGTAAGGCCAGCCTTTGCGAACCGGTGGACGCTTCGGCTGCTTTTCTCGGTTTAGCGCGGCCCCGGGTCGATGGGCCTGAAAGGGAGCCGCCACCGCCGACTTTGAGCTTCGGTGAACCCAGCCAGGCCGGCCAGATGCCCAGGATTCCCTGACCCAAAGTCTAGTGCTCTCCCTTTCTCCAGCACACACGGACCTGAAGCCTTTTTTCCTGTCTGAGGAACTCATTCCTTCGGCTTTTCAAAATCATGAGAAGGTGTGCATGATCAAGGCCTCAACAGGATTTGAGGGGATAACTAAATCCGACATGTACTTTTGTTAAGGTGTGGAATCCATCTTAACAAAAGTGGGGAGTGGGGCCAAGAAAGTAGGGGGAAAGAAAGCAAATCCATGTTATGCGGTAAAATGTGTCAATCCCAGAGCTGGAAGATGAACATATCTGCTGTTGTGGCTTAGGCACAGTTTTGGCAGGGTCGTAGGCTGTGAAAATGCCAGAGCAGTTGCTGCACTGCCTAATGGGTAGACACCCAGAGTCAGATGTGCAATTTTGTTGCCCATGAGCTTTGGCCAGACTTAGGCAGCTGTGTTGGGGTCGTGGCTAGAACAGTGTGTGGCTAGACATCACACAGGTATCTTGGGAGAAACAGTAAGGTAAATGGGATTGTTGTCTGGTCCGGGAATATCCTTTGTAGCTTAAGCTGACAGGCAACCCAAGGGCACTCTTGCCCTATCCAAAAGACTGGCTATTTGGGTTTCCATTCAGTATCCGGAGGGAGTTGGGCCACAGATCTCTCAGACTTGAGAGGAAGGATATATCCTCATACTGTGTAGCTGCATGAAGATGGTTGGGCATGGTCTCTGGGAATACAAGAAGGTCACAGTCTGATGGAAAGGGATAGAGAAGGCCTGCAATCTTTGTGTTCAGTATGACTACAAAAATCACAGAGCTGTGGGCACAGTGAACGGCAGCATTGGTACAAGGCCTGATCTGGAAGCCTGAGGCTTGCTGGGGCAATGGGGCTAGACAAAGACTGTGAGATACACAGACCAATCTTGTGAGTGCTGAAACTGCAGTTTCTTACAGAGACTGGCACAGTAAAAGCAGATTTTTTTTTAGGAGGCCCATGATGGCAGCTGTGAGCAAGAGAGGTTGACCATCTACATTGGTCCTACTTTGCTCCAGAAGCTTTTCTTCTGATGGTTGGAGGCGGGAGCCCAGATGGCAAGCCGGTGGTAGCTGTCTCCCTGAAGTTGGTCTCCTCACCTCCGATTACCACTCCTCTCCCTCACACACACTGTTCACTCTTCACATTGTATTATTTGTTTACTCAGTTTGAAGACAGGGTCTCCTGTGGCTGAAGATGACCTTGAACTTCTGATCCTTCTACAGCTGCTTGGAATTATAGGCATATGGGACCATATCTGACTTGTGGGGCACTGGGGAACATCCCAGGACATGCAAACACTTCTTCCTTTTGGGAAACCTCTGAAGGGAGCATCTCCCCAATCACATCAAGTTCTCATTCACATTCTATTAAAACACAAAAAACAAACAAACAAAATTGTCAGTGAAGATTTCCTTTTGAGGTTAGGATGGAGAGAGGCCTAAAGGAGCCAGATATATTTAGCCTTGAGATAAAGAGCTTCACACACACACACCCCACCCCTCACTCCCACCCCCTACCCCAAGTCAGGAATAGTGTATAGAAGAGCCTGAGGTGGCAAGCCATGTCTGTAGATGGGAATTAAGCAGACAGACTTGACTGCAGTAACATGAGTCACAGCACTTTATGTGCCCCAGCATTTATTTTAGACATTTTATCTGTACAATACCCCTATGAACTAGGACATGATCCACTATTACAGATGAGTTTCCTAAGGCTCAGCTGGCTCAGCCATTTGGCTGAAGTCTCATAACTAATATGGTGTTATTCAATTCACCCTAGGTTATGGTTCTCCAGAGTGCCAACTTAACACTAAGCAGACCCACAATAAAAAAAAAAAAAATAAATAAAAAAAAGATAAGAATGTGGGGGCTTGACAATATTCTCCAATTTTGCCTGTTAGAAACTTACTCCCCGGTGTCATGTTCATGCTTTGTGGGTTATTGAGGGAGTAGTCTTGTTTAAAAGGCCTTTCTGGCTTCACCATGTGATGTCCCCCAAAACTGTCTATACTATAGACAGCCCTCAACCAGCATGGCCCCTTCACCTTGGACTTGCCAGCATCTTATTTTCTTAAAACAAGCCCCTTCTCGGGTATTCTGTTACAGTAGTAGGAGCGGGCACATACAGAGAGGAAACCAGTGAAAAATGGAGCTGACAAACTGGAAACACATGAAGATACAGCTGTACAATATCTGGCTACCAGCCTCGTTTATATTTCTATATTAAAATACCTAACACGGGCCACTTATAAAGAATAGAGATTTTGACTGCATGTGGTAGAGCTCAGCTTTAATCCTAGCACTTTCAAGGCAGAGGCAGCTGAATCTCTAAGTTTAAGCCAGCCTGGCCTACATAATAAGTTTTAGGACAGCCAGAGCTTCAATAGTGAGATCCTCTCTTAGAAAGCAGGCAACTACAAAACAGATTCCCCCCCCCCCCCTTTCATGGTTCTGGCTGATGAGAAATCCAAAATCAAGGGACCAATGTCTGGCAAAGATTGTATTGATGCATAGGTTGGCTACTTTGCTGGTTTATCAGACCAAGCACCCAGCAGGAACACAGAAGAGAGGCTAGGTTTATTTTGGCTCATGCTTTCAGGGGATTCAGTTATAGTTATTTGACCGCTGTAGTTGGGTAGAGTATCGTGGCAGCAAAGTGTGTGTCCTCAAAGTCTTGATGATTGGGATCAGGAGTGTGACAGGAAGGGACCAGGGGTACTACCCCCCAAAGGACCCACCTCCAGTAACATAGCAGGACTGCTTCCCAAAGTTTCTATCACTTCTAAAATAGTTCAGTAGGCACAGGGAACACTCTTAAAACATGAGCTTGTGTGGGCGGGGGTGGGGAGTTTCCCATTCAGCCAGTGGCACTGCCATCCCCCAGTGGAAGGCAGAGGGGCAGAAGAGCATAAGTAAACAGAAAAAGAGGAGGGCTGAACCCATCTTTTCATTAGAAAGTGACTCCCCCAGATGATGGCCTTAATCTTTGCATGACCTAATCAGCCCTGTGCCTAGAGTGGACCCTGGGGGGGGGGGGCAAGTGCTAAAGAAGCATAGAGGTGCTGGACAAGCTTGGCAGCTGGCAGCATGGAGCTCTGGTAGCCTGGGCCACACTACTATTTAGGAAGAGTTCTACAATGTAGGCCAGAGTACACCGGTCTATGGCTAAGGCCAGGGACCCACAGCCAGTCCTCCCCTCTTGCTGGACTCAGTCTGCAAATGTATGCTATTCTATGGGAGCACCCTTCCTTCTATCAGGGTCTGGAACAGTTGGCCAGGTTCCAGTTCTTCAAGTTGCAGGCCCCATCGGATCATGTTTCTCCATTGCCATGACTTGGTCACTCTTTCGGATGACTGAAATTCTTGTTCCCCTAGCTATCACGGTAAGAAGGTTGGATTATAAACAGGGGCTTCTGTTCTTTTGCTCTGTGACCCCTTCTTGATGTGAAACTTCCCTGATCTCCTGATCCCTCATAGCTGTGTACTTAATGCAACTAGGCGGTACATGTTCATATGTCATAATTTGTATGACTTTTAGAGGGTATGCTTGTTCATCATAGTAGCATCTGAACATGTTTAAACAGTAACTAAAGTGTTTAAGGAAAACATGCATATTTGGTCTGTAGGAGGCATGTGTATGCACATTTGAACCCTGAGCCTATTGTCACAGACATGGGGGTGTGTAGCTCACACATGAGGACTCAACAGCTTTTTCCCATTCTACCAGCTAGCATCCATGGTTCCCAGACACTGGGTGTTAGGATACCAAAAGGGAGAGGTGGAAGAGGGCAGTACCAGAAAGGACAAGAGAACGGAGCATAGAGCTGTAGCAGAGATGCCAAAGGAGAGACTAGAAAGTGGTGGGTTGACTGCATGGGCAGGGGGTGAGAGGTTGCAAGGTGGCCAAATGTAATGGGGTCCTGTGGTGGCGTCACCAAGGGCATTTGAGACTTAGAAATGCCCATGAGGATTCAGGCCCAGCAGGTAGTTAGACTCATGGCCATGTGTGGGAAAACATCTGACAAATTCAGCAGATAGCAGAGGTGCATGGGACAAGGTTAGAGGAAATTTGAGGGCAGCTTCCCTGAGGCCTCCAGTTCAGTTGCCAAGATGCACGTCACTCCCCCAGCATAATGGCAAGTGATCTGTGTGGAATGCCCACTGGGGGAATCCTGCCAGAAACTCTACACCCAGGATTATTTATGAGAACAGGTCACTCAGGCACCTTCTGCTGGTACCTGCCCCAATTGCAGACAAAAGGATGTGTTCAGCACGAGCTGTTTCTCACAGATTAGCCAATGTGTTAACTAGTTAACCTCTAATCAGCTAGGTAGAAACTCTTTCGAGATGCACATTCCCAGGTACCTGCCTGAGTCTACCTAATGCTAGGCATTTTGAAGAGCAGCAGTGGCAGGCCTGCCCTGTTGGCTCTTCAGTATAGAACATATGATTGTCCAATTTTATGTGCTAGGAGGTCAATATGAAATGCAAAGTGGCTTCCTGCTAGAGGTTTGTAGAGTATCTGAGGTGTTCCCGAGGGATACTGGCCATAGTGGGCCAAAGCCACAAGTTAAGCCTAAGGAAAGAGGCTGCTGAGTTGCTCAGCAGGCCATGGAGATGGTTGGGAATGCACAGTGAGCTAAGTGGCAAAGAACACTGCCTCTGATCCCTTCTGGAGATGCGGTCCCTAGCCGGATGTGTTGCTGGAACCTAACTACTTCAAACTGTCAGGGCTCTAGATTTATGAGCCTGGTGTATATAAGTGACAGTTGTCAGCTGTCAGGAATGTCAGGCAGAGAGATGTCAGGGAGTGGGTGGCAAAGCTTTTAGTTAGTAGCAGAGACAGTTTTTAAAGTCACCAACTTAAATGCATGAAATAGGAGTCCACTCTCCTCTGCTTTTTACAAGTGTCCCCATTTTTTTTTACAATCCCTTCTTGCAGCTCACACTTGTTTGTAACCTAGATGGATTCTTTCCATAATTTATATTCTATTTGTGTCACTTGCATGGTTAATTTCTGTCATAATTTAAGTTCATGCCTATCAGATGTTGATCATTGAGTTTTCATGGCTTTTAAAGAAATTAAAATTAAATGTTGCTTTCATCTTACAAAGCCACAGGTCCAGGAGGTGAGCATAGCAGATTAAGGTGTGGAGTGTGGGTGTAAAGAACTATTTCCTGAACTCCTGGGTTTCTGGGTTTCTTCTGAGTTCCTAAGGACTATACTACAGGAGGGGTGGAGTTAGGGGCCATGGTGAGATGGGGCCTCTAGATGGGCTCTGTGATCCTCACCTCCCACTGTGTGCATCTGGCGTCACAGCTTTGCATGATGGAACTCACCACAGCTGGGCTAGGATTTGTGGAGAGTTGAACCCTTGCAGGGCAGGTGGAAAAGTGAAGGGACTGGAAAAGTAAAGGTGAGTTGGCTCTGCCCATCAACTAGGAACCAGGACCAGATTGGAATCTGGAGATCAGGGGTCCTAGGTATAGATCAGGACTAGAAAGAAGTACCTGGCTCACGTGCTGCATGACAGGCAGGTGAAAAGGGTCAGTCTGATTTTTGACCTTCAGGGCTTCATGAGGTTTTTGTTTGTTTGTTTTTATTTTGTTTTGCTGACCCTACCCCTACTGTTTGGGGGGTGTTTAATTCTGATAAATCTTGTGATCCCTGCTGAAGAGCAGAAAATGGGATTTTTCTTTGCTATGCAGGTTCATTAACCCTAGTCTAGAAATCTGGGATGGAATGTTCCAAAAGGCAAAACTGTTGAGTACTGTGATGCCCTGTGTACAGCAATCCACATCTGAGCTCCTGTGATCGCTTGCAGTCAAAATGCAGGCGTACTAAAAACATTGTAAAAGTTACCCTTGGCTAAGTGTATAAAGAACAAAATATAAATGAATTTCTTGTTTAGTCTGGAGTGCCATCTCTAAAATCATTCATTATGTACAGGAGAACATTAAAAATCAAATACTCAAAACACATCTGACCCCAAGGATTTGGGATAAAGAATACTAGACCTTGGTAATGAGCTGGTTTTATCAGTAACTTGATGTCTTCCTCTCAGTGCCATAGAGTTCCAGGTCCTCGGACATCACAGCAAATAGAGCTGGCTGAGCACTAAGGAATGTAGTTTCATATTTCCTGGTTACACCTGTGGTGACCTTGTTTCTAAAATGTTGCTGGTGGCACATCTCCAGGTGCCCAGCTAACCGTAGCAGTGTCCAAGGCCAGGTCCCACCCATATCTGCACTTGCTCCCAGTGTCTACCAGGAGACCCATGTGGCTCACTGAGCTAAGGGACAGTTTGGGTGGGTCTTGTTGGCATGGATGCAGCCAACCCCCCTGGAGACTGTGCCCACAGGTGCCCATCAGCTTCAAGGACTTGGCCGTGCGGTTCTCTGAAGAGGAGTGGCGGCTCCTGCAGGAGGGGCAGCGGGAATTCTACAGAGACGTGATGCGGGAAAACTACGAGACGTTGGTGTCTGTGGGTGAGGGCCGAGGCCTCCAGAGTGTGGGTTGCAGGGACAGAAGAGGGTAGCAGTGAAGGAGGCCAGGGTCCATGCCCAGGGGTCTTGAGTCTCTGTGAGACCCTAGGCTCATCCAGGCCTTGGCCGTCTCATCTGTGGATTGAGTAGGTTCAGGGGAGTATTCAGAGCTTGAGGCTGCCCAAGGCCTCACTTTCCTTTGTTCCTTTGTTTCTGTGAGCCAAAGGGGGGTCTGGGCACAAAGTTTTAAGGGTATACGGTCTTTTGAATTTGCTGACCACACAAACATGTATGGAAAGCTATACATAGATAAGCAGTCATTTGGGCCATCACATGACTGGGAGGGTAAAAGCTACTCAGTTCCCAGAGTAACTGCTCCTTCTTTCCCCAGGGACCTCTGAGCTGCTTCCTCTCTCTGCTTTCCTGTCACCCACAGAGCCTGGAGGAACCACAGCTGGAGAGAGCCACCATGATAAGGGACAAGAACCCCCATTGGAGCATGGCTCCCAAGGTAGGTCCTCCCAATAGACTTTGAGCACACTTCCTTCTAGTTATGGTTTTCAGCCCCTAGATTCTGCCCCTTAAGTGATACTTTGACTTCAGCGAATCCAGTCCAGGCCTCCTTGAGTCTTGCCCCTTCTTCCTTTGGGTTGGAGACTCATTGCATGTAGTCTAGTCCATGGAGAAGTACTCAGACTAAAACCTGAGGTCATGTTGGAGAGAACTGCATTGGGCCCCGCTCACCACTACCCAGAGCTAGCCCGCAACTTAGACAGTAGAGGTGGCACATGGGGCCCAGAGTGAAGAAAGATAGAAGGCCAGATGGAGCCACAGGACCCTTCAATATTGCTCTTGATGAAAGTAGATAAGAGGTACTGCTGAGTAACAGCACAGAACCCTCCTGAGCTCAGCCCTCCATTCTGAGCCATTTGCTCTCTTTGGCTGCTCTGTCTGTGATTGAGAAGGTTCCTATGAAACTAGGTGACTGAGCACAGGGCCCACACTCCTCTCCACAGGAGGGCAGCCCCAGCAGAGCCTACACCTCACCGCCTTAGTGCAGCTGGTAAAGGAGATTCCAGAGTTCTTGTTTGGAGAAGTGAAGGGCACCGAGGACTACTCCGAGAGTGGGAGCACCAGTCTGGATGGGGAGCAAGCGAGCCCTGAGGGTAAGTCACACAAGCTGCAGGAGTGCCTTCACTACAGTCCACGGTGCTGTGCATAGGTGGCTTCCAGCTCAACCCTTGACCTCCTCTCTGTGTGCTCATCCTCTGAGTTTTTTGGGACCTAGTGGGTGTGGGAACAGCTCATGCCTTCTCTCAGTGTTTCTATGTCCAGCCACCCAGGGATCCCTTCCTGTTGCCTTACACTTTGCATGGTGGTTAGCAGCATGTTTGTCCCTGTTAAGCAGATGCAGAACAGGAAAGAACCTGAGCTTTATCCAGATAGCCAGTGGGGCTTAGATCCTATTGCCAGACTTTCTCTTCCTGCTTCACAAACTGTGTGTTCTTTTCCCTCTTCACTTGGTCAACCCAAGACCCACCTCACCCTAGAACATGTCTCCCTACCTGCTGCAGCCCTCTTGAGTTAATGTTGAGTGACATAGGAAGGGAGCAGAGGTATATATAAAGTGGCACCAACTGGGTGGGAAGGGGCTTTACACTTAGTGCTCTGTGCTTTATCAGGACATGGCCAAGACATAAATTTTAAGTTTCAGAGTTCAGCAATAGGTTCCTGGCTCCTGGTGGTTGTTAGTGAAACATGACAGATACAGCACTGACTGTGGTAATGTTAGGACAACTTACCAGTTGGTGTCTTCTCCATCTCCCAACAGTAGCTGGGACTGTGGAAACTTACCCTCCCCGAAGCCTGCTCAATTCTCTTCCAGAGAGCCCAGAAAGCCACCCCAGCCTGGCCACCACACCCACAGGCAGCTCATCTTCCAGTGGCCCTCCTGGAGACTGGGCTCAAGAAAGCTCCCTACCTACCAGTGAGTCTGACCCAATGTGCATAGGGACACCCAGAATTGTAAAGGCCTAGCCCTAGAGTCCAGCTTTGACCCTGTGCCCTCTTCACTTGCTCTGGCTCAGCTTCCTCGTAGCTGACTGGAGACAAAGGTATCTGAATAATGAGAAAACACACTTGGCCTCTGGTCTGCAGACCAGGTGATTTGGTGCTCAGTTCCTGAGGACTGTATACACACAGAGAGAGCCTTGGACAGTTTGCTAATGTACAGGCCATTACAGGTCACTTACCTGGTTTGATTCATAGGCTGCCTCAACAAAGCCAGTAGCAGGGAAGCAATGTTGGTCACTGGAGTTTCTCTGGTGTCTCAGTTTGTCTTCTAAAATACTTCAAAATTGTACTTGTCTGAATATTTTGATTTTTTTTTTTTTTTTTTTTTTTGGTTGTGAACCTAGACTTTAAGAGCCAAGCCATCTTTCCAACTCTGTTTTGGTGTTTTATTTTAGAATATTTAAAGGAATAAAGATTAAAATGGGCACTCCCCAAAAATATACCCCAATTAGCCTGTGGTGCCCTATGCCATCTGCCTTACCAACCCCACATAGGAAGCATGAGTACAGCTGGGAGGTGGTGGCACACACCTTTAATCCCAGTACTCAGGAGACAGAGGCAGGCTGAGCTCTGTGAGTTTGAAGCCATCTTGGTCTACAAAGCGCGTTCCAGGATTGCCAGGGCTATACAAAGAAAAGTCCTTAAAAAAAGAAAAAAAGAAAAAAAAAAGAGGCAACACACACACACACACACCAAAAAGAAGAGAAAGCTTGAGTACAAGCCCGGCTTGAGTTGTGACTGTTGGCTTCATTAGCTGGGCCAGATTTGGAGATGGGGTCAGGGAGAGGGTCTGGAAACATTCAACATGAACAAGTCTTGCTATTTACAGCAGCTAAGCTGGAAGAAAACAGGAAACAACCTCCAACCCTCCTGGAACAAGTCCTCCAAAGATACCCCCAGCACAAGGCTAATGTTTAGGATATGGATGACTCTCAAAGGGCCGTAGCATTAGAGTGGTCTGTCCTCTTGGGGAGCAGATCTGGGGTGATCTAACGTGACTTTCTTTGTGTTTTATACTAGGAACCGCTGATAAACCACTAACCATAGAGAAAGAAGGCTTAGGGGCCTCAAGAGAGACTTCCATTCATCCCACTCAAAGCCTGGACCAGAGCAAGAGCCACCTAAGACAAGATAGAGGTAGCACAGGAATAGGTGAAAGGCTGGCTTGCTGGGGTTGAGCAGTCTAGAGCTGAGTAGGGTCAGAAAAGATCATGTCACTCTCTCATCAGAACTTCATGACAACCCTATAAGACAGTGTTTTTCAACCTTTCTAGTGCTGTCACCCTTTAATAGAGTTTCTCATGTTATGGAGACCCCCAACCATAAAGTTACTTCATTGCTACTTCATAACTGTAATTGTGCTACTGTTGTGAATTGTAAATATCCAATCTGTGATCCTGAAATGGTCACAACCCACAGGTTGAGAACCATTGCTATAAGATAAGCCTCATATGTTTGTATGGTGATTCTCAGCTGCCTCGAGATGGCGGAGATGGCTGAGGGTCTTGTGCTGCCCATAAGGACCACAGTGACCTTAGCTGCCTTATGTGTGCACAGGAACCTCTCCTGAGAACAGTCCCTTGCAAGGCCTCATCAACTGTCTAAAGGAAATCCTTGTGCCTGGGCCCCAACACCAGCACCGTGGGACAGCCCCAGACTTGCCACCTTCTCTTCCTGGCCTGAGTGTGTTGAAACAGACCAGAGCTGAGGTGGAGCCAGGGAGCCTGCCCTGTCCCGGTGAGTCCCTGGGCACCTGGTCTGCTCAGACCAAAGACGTCAAAGTCCCTGGAAAGTGCAAGCTGCCTTTCATAGCTATTGCTGTTTTCCGCGCTGTCTCCTGTGTCCCTAGGGTCAAGTGTATGAAGCCCAATGGCTTTCAGGGATAGAAGCAGCAGACGTTATCCTGTTCTCCTCTCTGATCTCTGCTTCTTCTAATCTGGGACTCTGAGGAGGACTTTGGTACTCAGATGTCACTTTCTGTTGACATGAATGAGGTGTCAGTGGACACTGAGGTCTGCCTGAGGATTCCTCTCAAAAGTTGCTGGAGCTTTGAGCTTTGGTCTTACATCTGTAGAGGATAGCTGTTCCATCCCCTGGACTGAGGTGGACTTAACCACAGAGTCTCTTGCGCATATAAACATTCCATGTGTATGTCAACACCTGATACACCTTGAAGCTAAATTGTACTCAGAACTCAGGAGCTGCCAGCCTACCAGCTTCAGTTTGCACCCTAATTAATAGCCGTGCCTAGGTGCTGCCCACCTAGAAGGTTTACAGATCCTGGTTTTCTGGCCATGTGCTGCTCAAACTGTATCCCAAGATGGTCCTTGTCTCTGTCAGGAGACTGACATATGTCTTTTTCCTTAGTGAAGACAGAGGCAATATCCGGGGATTGTCCCCTTCAGGGCCTGCTGAACTGTCTGAAGGAGATCCCAGAAGCCCCAGACAGGCGTCCTAGCCCCTCAGGAGTTGGGGACCTGCAGCTGCAGGCAGATCCAGGGAAAAGGAATTCTGGAGGTAAGGCCATTTGCTGGATTAGTGGTGGGGGAGCTAGGTGTAATGTCTTTGGTTTCCCTGCTCCAAGTACAGCCATGTATGACCTTTCACAAAAAAAATTGGTGTCTGTGTCAGCATGTTAGACAACTCCATGCTAGATCTTGTCACTCTGTACAAAAGCAGAGCCTTAGTCAGTGCTTCATAATTTTCCAAACTGGCTATTGTTATAGGAGTTAAAAGAGCTAAAAGAACTTTCTAGAAGGGATGTTGGGGAGGGAAAGGGAAATGAAATAGGCAGGAGTTGTAGCACAGTAGACCATAATTGTGACTGGGGATTCCTGCCATCCTGTGTTCAGGCTAGGTTCTATGGCTGGAGGATGGGACTCCCAGCACATTTGGACTGGGATTATTTGTCAGTTTATCAATAAGCTTGTGTTCTCAAGAACATAGCCTTGAGAGGGTGGGGTTGAACCAAGCCTGCTGCATGAGGAGCAAGATCCAATTTGTTGCTGACTAGGGAGGGGTTCACTTTGAACATCCCTTATAAAGCTCCCAAGCACCCCAGAGGCAGTAGGGGTGTTACTTGGATCTGTGCTTGGAATTGAGAGGTGGTCATACCCAGAGCCAGAAACTGTTCTTAGTCAGGGGAGCCTTGGAAGTCCCTCCTAGCATTATAAAGTAGAGTTCTCGGGACTTAAGTTGAGTCTAAGCCTGAAACCAGAGCTTCCCAGCCATTGCCTTTCCCACAGGGATGAGATGCCCCCAGACTCCTCCTCTCCGCCGTAGTCATGGAGCTGGAAGTATGCTTGCCATGGTGAAGGTAGAAGATAGCTGGGCCCAGAGTCCCCCAGTGCCAGCATCCTGCCAGCTTAGCAGACAAGGCCACAGTCCCTATTTCACCGGAGATAACAGAGAGATCCGTGTACCCCGCTGGGGCCCCATGATGACTCTCGGTAAGTTCTGGGTTCCAAAGCCCACTGCTTCTCTTTAGGCCAAGGAGCTCTTCCCCTGCTCCCCCCAAGTTGTTCCATCTTAGTCTGTGTTCTCAACCCAGGCCCATGCTCAAGCACCCTCTGCTTTCAGGACCTTCTTTCTGCAGTAGGTCCTGGCTGTGGAAGATGGCCACGGCATACAGGTGGCTCTTCTACCCTTCTCCTCAGAGTTGAGGATAGCTTCATTCCTTCTGTAGAAGCAGAAAAGACATTCAGAGTTCCTCATTGGAGGATCTCCTGCTTAGCAGATCTTTAGAGCTTGCAGTGAAGTTAGGCTGTGGGCCAGCCAGTCAGCCAAGGGCCAAGCCGGGGTCTGAAAGCAGGCCGGAGCCCAGCAAGAGAAGATAAAAGGTGGCCTCTCTTATCCAGCTGGCAGGGCATCAAGCTCACCGCTAGAAGCTCTGGAGGCCTGTCTGAAGGGCATTCCTCCAGGTGGATCATCACCTCTGCAATCTCTAGCCACCTCGTGGTCCAGAAGTCCCCAGCCAGGAGATGCTGGGTCTCAGAGACTTGAGCTACAGCCACAAGGTTCTCACAGTGAAGGTACTTGGGGTCAGACTGACAGTTACTCCTGTGCACAGTGGAGGGAGATGCTGAGGGCATCATCTGGTCATCCTCTCTGGACCTCCTTGAGTATGAGTCATTCTTTCCTAACCCCTGCTTCATGCCTTCCCCCAAATACCTATCCAGGAAAGGGAAGGGGTTCCCTGGGCTGGATCTTCTGGTGCCATATACTGTAAGGCTCAAGGACTTCTTCAGCATGCTTTGCCTTGACCCAATGACACTTCTTTCTGCAGAAGCTACAAGAGAGCCACTTCTGCCTCTGAGCTTGCAGGGCTGCATGAGAGAGGGACTTGGGGTTCAACCCTCTGGCTCTCAGGGTACCCCTACCAGCTTCTCCTCAGCCAGCAGCAGTGATGGGGATCTGGATTTCGGGAGCCCCAGGAGCAGTCAGGGGCAACGGCTTGGAAAAGGTGAGCTGGTCTAGCCTGATGTTGGAGTCCTCTAGGAAGGAATGCATTAGTCCTTGCTCACTACTATATCTGCCCCAGTGCCAGAAGAAGAACCAGATATACCAAAGTAGAAACAGATCCAGGACTTGTGTTGGCAGAATGAAAGGGGTCTGTTGTAGTAGCTTGGACAGAAGGAATGGGACAGTGGCAATGTGTCCTTAATTTCCCTTATATTAAACACTTTCCTGTTGCAGAATAAAAGAAGTGTCTGTAATACTAAATGACCTCCAAGTTAGAGAAAATAGAGTGAGGATCTTAGAAAACCACCTTCAAAACTTTACTTAGTAACCTGTGCCTCCCTGCCAAAAGAAGTCACTCTTAGGGACTTTGGGGTCTTCTGGGACTCTCTCAGCATTTCCCTTTTCCTTTCCTCTTGGAACAGTCATGTCTGTCTTGTCCCATGGATGAATACCCAGTGCATCTGCCTAGCTGATCCCTGGCCACATCCATTGTTAAAGGCCTAGATATGTAAATTGGCATCTGCCTCAGTGGCATGGCACCAGCCCAAAGGGACTCATTCTAGTTTATCCTGATGTGTTAAGCAGTCTGCCTAATGTTCTTCAGGCATTGTGGACAGCTGCATTTTCTCAACAGTCCCCAAGCCCACACCTACGAAGCTCCTAATTTATATGGCCCTAAATTTACAGCATAATCAGTGGCTTGGAGCACTACCCAGCGTTAAAGCAGCAGCACTGAATACAGACCCAGACAACAGAAGGCACAGACTAAACCAGATGCTGGGCAAGCCACGCATCTACATACACCTTACTCTTGCTCTGATCATAGATTCTACTGGTCTTGCCAAACACTGCCTAATTGTGGGCAGGATGGCTTACTTTGCTCTTGTCTGGCACATAGAAGACCTAAGTGACATTATGCTGCAAGTTGGCATTACTCTTGTAGCCTTTGGGAGACTGTTTTCATTACAAAGCTGGTTTTCTCTTTTCCTGAATCACACTGAGGAACCCCCTCCCAATATAGAACTCTTAAATGTCCTTCAACTTTTAGTACCCCTAATGTATACTGTGGCATACATATGGTCAGAGGACAACCTACAAGAGTCAGTTCTAAAGTTTTCAACACCATACGTGTCTGGAGATCAAACTCAAGTGTGCTTGGTGCCAAGGACCTTTGCCTGCCGTGGCTTATATTTCTATGCTTTGCTATGCTACACCAACCCCACATGATAATCTCTTGCTTAGAACCACTGCCTGGTCCCAGGGGCCTCATGGACAAATGGCCAGTACTGTCTGCTTACCTTATCCCTCTAGAATTTTATTTCATCTACTTCTTGTTGTTTACACAAGACTTTATCAGTAGTAATACTATCTTTGAAATGTATCTGAAACCTATCGAGAATTAGACTTCCTGTGCCCAGATGTGATACTGAGAGGCAAAACGGCCTGCATTATTGCCCTCCTTGCAGGGGTAAAAGAAGTCGTGTGCAAATTTGATTGTTAGGGTGTCCTGTATGCTAAGAATACAGCATCACCCTTCAACATGGTGACAGTTGGCTGTGCTGAACTAGATTCCTATGACTAGACTCTCTCATTCTAGTACCCAACGCAGAGTTCTGTGTGGGCTTCTTCCAGGGTAGCCTGAGCAGGGCTACCCCAAAGCCAGGGATGACAAGTGTTTGGGTCCATGTCTCCATCTGGGGCCCTGGCCTACTAGGACATGTCCTAAATTCTGTGCCTCCTTCTTCTGCCCTAATCAGAGCAGAAGAGACAGGCTTCAGGGGTTCACAAAGCACATGGCATCCAAGACTATTCATGTTTGACCACAGGATATCCACCAGGAAACTCTCCACTCCAAGGCCTGGAGAACTGTCTGAGAGAGATCCCCATTCCCAGGCCACAGGCTGCCTGGCCTTGCTCCTTGGCTGCAGACAGGGGGTTGAAGAAAACAGAGCCCAGGAACTGGACTGCAGACAGAGAAGGTAACAAATGGTATTTGTGGGTACCAGGGAAAAGAGAAATCCTTCCTGCATGGTGGCTTTAGCAGCGGTGTAGCAGCCGTCAGGCCAGATCTCAGCTGAGTTGAGAAGATGCTCAGGGAAATGGCCTGGGCAGAGGCCTGAGAACAGAGTGAGGAGAGTCACTCCCACTCTTGCAGACTCATGTAAATGAGTGGTACTCAGAGTCCAGGATGTGGACGCCCAGCACCACTCTCTGCTGCTCCACTGAGCCAGAGCTTTGCTGACCAGGTGTCTCTGTTGTGGCCGTGTCATGCCCTCGTGCCTTGTTGTCTGGGCACTCACTGAGTTACACATCTCCTGGGATTCCATGTAGCTTGGGTTGAGAGTAAAGAGATCCTAGGGGTTTGGGCTGGTGTAGTGACCAAGCAAGGTCATTACCACACCTGAAACTTGTGTGCTAAAAGCCTGGCAGTAGTAGAAATTCTGTCCATTCTGTGGCACTATAAGGTCCTATAGGACTGTCAGAACTCTTCTCATTAAAACAGGACCAAAGAGTGAGGCCTGTGAGCCACCCCACTTCAGACAGGGTCAGGAAGAAGTACCCAGCAGAAGTCTCCGTCTAAGCAGTACACAGACCTGTCCTCCCACCTATCACCAAGTGGCTGCCAGGCCAAGAATGTGGCAATGGCCAAAAGATGGTGAGTTACTTTCAGGGTTTACACCATAGTTTGCCTCCAGTTAGTTGTTGCCAAGGCAATAGCCTTCTCTTCTTCCTATTTTTCTATTCCTTTCCTACCTTCCTTCACTTGCATGGAATATAGAAGTAGACAGAGCAGAGTGGACTGAGAAAGAATAGGATGTTTGGTTACTTGTGGGGTTTCTGCAGTAGAGATGCTGCTAGGATTGAAGGGTACCCCTGTACATGCTGTTAACTGTAGGCAGCTTTGGCGGGACCATTCTAGTCTAAAAAAGGGTGGAAGAATGACTTAGCTCATCAGTGGCCCTCACTAAACTGCCAGCTCATGCATAGTGCTGGGTAGAGGGTCTGCTAAGTTGAGGGTTGCAGCCTAGCTTGCAAGACTCAGGGCCTAACTGGTACCTGACCAGGAGTAGCTGCTAGGGGCTTGGAGCTTGTAGAAAGTTTCTCAGCTCACCTGGCCAGAGACATGGCTAGCCTCTGGATTTGCTTCTCTCTATGACCTATGACCAGAAAGTAAGTTGTTCAGGGTCAGCCAGAGCCCAAATGGGCTGTGGCTGAGCAGAAAAAGATGCATCCTGGATGCCCGGTCAGGTAGTAGGCAGTGAGCGCTTCCCTCCTTTGTTTAGAGACAGCCACCATGCCCTCCCCTCTACACTGCCTGGAGAGCTCTCTGAGGGGGATCTTGCCTGTGAGGCCCTTGCGTTTCACCTGCGTGACTGGTCCAGGCCCAAGTCCCAGCCCCTGCTCCAGCTCCAGCTTCAGCAGCTCTGATGGAGAAGACCTAAGGCCAGAGACGGCCCTCTGGCAGCCAGCCCTCCAGAGTGAGTCTTCTGGCATGGGGGTGGGGGGTGGCAGTGAGCTGCCCTTTGAGGTGTCTGTCAGTACTCTGGTGCTAGCTTATTATGACCCAGAGAAAGACTACCTTCCCTCTGGAAAGGGTCCTGAGCCTCTGAGCCCTGTCTCGGGAGCATCCCCAAGAGGCAGCAAAAATAGCCATCTTGCTGAAGATCCTAAGACAACAGAGCCTGGGGACTGTAGCAGCCTCAGCACAGGTGAGCCTGGAGTCCCCCTGGATGACAGCACTATTGGTCCAAAGGTCCAGATCTCATTCTCTGAGTATTATTGTCATTCTATTGGCTATCATTAAAATGTCCCCATAATTCTTTGTACTTTAGAGGGAAGCTAAGCCAAAAACTGTGTTCTATAGGGAGGATCTTGGTAAACCACTGAATGATATGTACATACTATTTCCATATATGCTCAATACATGCACACATGCACCATATAGTTAATATCCAATAACATTGGCAATTAAAAAAGAAATATCAAGTGATCTTTTTCAGTGGTAAAACACTTGTCTAGCATGCATGAGGCCCCCAATATCACATACACAGTGAGAATAGGATTTCTTGGAATTAGGCCAAAAGTCTAGAAATACCTGGTATTATAGCCACTTTACTCTCCTCCTGAGCTATGCTCCAGACTTTGTTCTTAACAGGAAAAACAGAAAGGACAGGAGCCAAATCCCAGTCACCCAGAAGAGAAGGGACTGCAGAGCACACGTGTCATCCTGGCCCTGTCAGCAGTGATGAAGGAAAAGGAGGTAGGGGTCAGGGAATAATCTCAGGAGGCTGCTCCACTCTCAAGCCTTGGGTACCACCTGTGCAGGATTTCAGGGTGTGCTACAGTCCTCAAGTCACTGAAGATTTAGTAGGACATGGCAGAGTGGGTTCCCACATGCTGCAGCGGGCCAACCCAACAGTGTTAGGCTCCCCAGCATCTTGCACCTGATTCAGTCATTATTTAAAAGTTGCACATTTGCCATTGGGATGAGGGTGGGAATGGATGTGTGTGGCTCATCAGAATACCCCCATGTTGGAGTGGCATAGACAAAACAATATTGTTCTTGTTCCAAGTGCTCTGCGCTCTTTCTGCAGAAGCATCTGGGTGCCCATGGCCTGCCTCTCAGCTGGAGAAAAGGCCTGAGACCAAGGGTACTGAAGAATCCAGGGACCAGGAGCCTGGACATAAGCAACCCGGTGCCATAGGTGAGCTTGTGACTTATCCAGCATTTGCTGTGCTTTAGTGGCCTCTGGGAAAGTCAACCCGAGTCCCAGCCTCAGGAAATAACATTCCAAGTTCATCATTTGGGTCATGGGTAAGAAAGTCTTACATTGAAGCCACTCAGGTACATGGTTCACTTTTCTTCAGAGTTTTCATAAAAGCGCACAAGATCACCTTTTTAGAGGCATTGAGAAGCATCTGGAGTCAAAGTTTGGGTTGAGAGAACTGAACCTCAGCACTGTTGAGTGACCTGGCTGAGGTCCTGCACAGAGCACTGTAGTGAGGTAGTCCTTCTGTAGCACTGACCACGCCCATGGCCTATTTGTTTATCCTGATCCTTATTTACCGCAATAGAGCACAGGCTTCACATCACTTTGTTCCAGGGACCCCAGTGACAACAGGCAGGATAATGCACCTGTACCCTGAGCTGTGCTGGAAAGGCATCACAGGTTTGCAGGATTGGATGTCTGTGCCTCATGTCCTTGCTGGCTTTTGTACCTGTGCTGGGTACCTTTGCCTGTGAGCTTTGCCTCCTCAGAGAATGCAAGGTTTTGTTAAGAGCCCTGGCATCAAACCACACTTTTACTTTGTTTTTTGGTGTTTAAATGTTAGTTATTGTTTGTGTCAAGGTTCTAAAGGTTTTGTGTGAGGCAAGTAACCCAGGCCACCTGGAACTTGTGATCCTCCTGCCTCAGTTTCAGATCCTTGCTTTAATTCAAGAACTTGGTGAGACAGTGTGTGGGTCCTTGGGGACTTAGGCTGTCACCTCTCCTTTCCTGTCTGCAGCCCTACAGGTACAGAACAGACAAGGACAGAGCCTTGGCTAGGGTTTAGCAAACAGCAGATCCCTCTTCCGTTCTGGGCTAAATGGGTGAAGAATGGCAGGGGCCTTGACCAGCAAGTGCCACATTGCCTGGGGTGAGACCCACTCCAAGGGATGTGGCACTGAAGAATTAACTGAACTTTTTTTGGTGGGTGGGAGAAGAAACCCAAGATTAAAATTCTCTGGAAGCCAGGACTTATGGGGGCAGGATACTGGATACACTAAAGAAGTCTCTGAGGCCAGAGAGAAGGCCCTTATAACCTAAGCACTCTTACCCATCCTTTCTCTGGTTTTAGCCAGGACCCAGGGGAATCTGCTCTCTGAGGACCCTCTGGAGACACCTAGCAAGTCTCCCCTTCCCATAGCAGCCTTGTCAAAGTGGCCACCCACTTCTTTCCAGTCACCGTGCCCCTGTGGAAGATCCCTGCAGCAGGAGCTGCATAGCCTTGGTACTGCCCTCACGGACAAGCTAGACCAGCTTGCAGCAGCCTTGGCAGGCTTGACTCAGGAAGTGGCCACCATGAGGACCCGGATGGATCGGATGGAAAGGCACCCACGGAGCCTTGGACCAAAAGGCCAGGCTTCTTGGCAGTTGGCCCTCCCGCGGAGACCTCGATGGGCCAACAGACTGGACCACAGACATCCACCCTACCAGAGGCAGAAGGGCCCCACCAGGCCCAAACCAAAGATCCTGCGGGCCCAGGCAGAAGGCTGCAAGGCTGGTGACTGCCCAGGACTCCCTAGAGGGAAGGGCACTTTGGTACCTCAGCTGCCTCCAGATGCTTCCTTGGTAGACTCTTCCAGGCCCACCTGTAGCTTATCCCAGCAGATCTCAGCACCTGGAGGCCACAATGTGCTGACTGCACACCCTCTTGTGGAACACACTGGATGCCACCAGAATCCCCTCTCCCCTTCAGTGCCTACTGCCTTGGTCCCCCTTGTGGCCTCACCTGAAACCAGTGCAGACACAGAACCTCAGGCTGCAAGAGTGGCAGCCATCAGCTCTCCAAACCAGCACAGGGAACCTAACAGCCTGCTAGGGGGAGCCCTTAGTAAAGACCTCTGGGGAGGTGACCACAGGGATCCAAGGTGGGGGGCCCATTAACTGTGCTGTTTGTCTGCTCAGGCTTGCTGAGATCCGCTGGGTGGCTGGGATGCCCTGGTGGGATCCTCTGGGGTACAACCATCACAGGCTTCCTGTTTCCCAGGGGTTATATCTTCCTTACTTACTCAGCCAGCCCTCATTGCTGCTACAAGCCTGGCCCTTAGCCTCTGCTATGCCAGGCCCCCATGGTGTCTGCACAGAACTACTATAGAGGCATTCCTCAGCCATACCTCTGACTTTCTCGGCTCAGGTTCAGTCAGCCAGTTGCTCTTCCTCCTTAGCAGAGCCATCTAGGTTCCAAGTGGATGTCATGCATACCACATATGAACAGAGCCAGCTGCAGAGGGCACTGTGAAGGCACCTTAACCTGATTGCCTGTTCCTGATTTCAAGGACACTAAAAGGCCAGCCTTTGTCTATCTAGAGTGAATACTTCACAGATCTCATTTAGGGAAGAGCTGGCCTGTGGTGTAAGCTGAAATGACCCACAAAGCTGGTAAGAAAAGGCCATTGGCTCCTATGGAAGGGTTCTCAGAGGAGACAATACTCAGGCATGGTTGCCTGGATTGTCACCACTACAATGGGAGTTAGGCAGCTCATGTTCCCCTCTTCCACACATGTGCCTCAAGAGAACTGCCATATGTGGTAAGGCTGGGAACAGAATGCCACAGAGTTCCTGGGGAAGAGCACTTTAGTCAGTCTCATAGGGTCTGGGCAGCTTGAATCAGGGGTCCCAAATCAAGGTCTTGTCAGGGTTGGTTCTACAGAGGACATCTGGCTCTGTCGGGGACTGTCTTCATGCTCACATGGCATCTTCTGTGAGTCTTTTTTTCCAAATGCCCTTCCTGCCAAGACACAGGATGGCACTCATTCTTGTTTGAACTTAATCTTCTCTAAAGTCTCTAAGAAATATCATCACATTCTTAAGTGCCGGGGAACATGTGGCAATGACAGCCTTTCAATATTATGACAGTGTTATCATCTAGAAAGTTCACACTTGAGAACCAGACAGTTGAGATTAAAAAGAAAAAGAAAAAAAAGCTCACCTTTGTGTCAGGTGGCATATGTAGCATTTTTTCAGCTATATACCGGATAGATGGATTGCAGGTTGGATGTGAATTAAGACTTCAGCATATAAATGGGAAAGAGGGCACCATCTAGCTCATTATACACCTATGACCTGGACCAGTCTTGGATTTGGACTGGCTGACTAGATGTCACTCCACCTGCTGCTGCACTGGAGAGACCCTTGGCACTGTGCCACAGCTGGCCATCCATATTTATTCACCTCATGTCCTTCGGAGTTGATCTGAATTCCTTTTGAACCTGAGGGCTTTTTGGAAGCTGTGCTCATACCCATGGGAGCTGGGAAGGCCAGAGCCTGGGCTGCCTGCTGAAGCTCAGGGTGGCATGACCTTGTCCATGACAAGTTTGATATAGATGTTTTACCCTGTGACACCCTAATGTGGTCTCTGGAGATATCCAAGACCAGAATGCCCCTCATGCAGCCATGCCTGGGACTTGGTAAATGTGGCTTGGGCAGATGCAATCATAAAAGATTATAACATGGTTTAGAGCCAAGTTTCTCAACCCGGGGGTCGCCACTCCATTGCTATAAAATTGACAGCAGTAGTCTAACAGTTATGAGTAGCTATGAAATAAATTTATGGCTGGAGGTTCACCATATGAAGCTGTATTAAAGGGTCATGGCATTAGGAAAGTTCTCAAACTACTGATCTAGAGACTAAAGCACACCTCCAAGAAGTCTGCCTAGAATGTAATAATGCTGAGTAGAGCAAGTCCAGCTCACTGCTTGCAGATTAAGGTAGGAAACAAAGGCCTACAGCCTTGTATCTCCAGGCCAGTGGGGCAACACTGGTACTTCCAGTGCTAATGGGTGGCAGTAAGACAGGTTTAGAGAATGGAGAAGAAGCATTCAAATTCATTATCCTACTTGGGAGACTTGGGTGTTCTTATGTTGATAAGACAAATTGGGGCCTGGTGTGTGTGTGTGCATCCCCTGGCTAGAACAGGAACTTTGCCCTGTGCTCCTTTTCTAAGCAAGAGACCATCTTGTCAGTGAAAAGGGCTCACTGTGATGCGCTGTGTAACACATCAGCCTTGCAGACAGCGGGCACAAGGGAACGAACAGCAATACAGGGCTGAGTAGCCAGGGCATGTCGTCTACTGGGTGTTAAGTACCCCCCTTTGCTTAGGATAAATAAAGACAGTTGGGACAGAGTCCAGTGTGCTGGTTCAGATCCAGTTGGACAATGTAACAGGTTTAAAGGAGGCTTTAGACTGAAACATGAGCCATGGAACCGGCTGAGGTTGTATGGTGTCTGCTATGTTCACACTGCTGGACGACTCCTCTGATAACCAGAAAGCCTTCTGAACTCACTGAGAACTGTTCGGGTGCAGGCTCATTCTGAAACAACCTGTTTAAACCTGGTGCAGATGTACTGGGGGCAGGGGTGTCTGTCCCCTATTGTTCTGGGAAGTGACCCTAGGCCACACCTGGGTGGGGGCTTTCTCTCTCATACCCATGGGGCAGAAAAGTGGCAAAGTCCAGCTCACTGAGCAGGCTGGAGGAGGTATCCACAGGGACCATTTGTGACTTCCTACAGCACCCTGTGAGTCCGTTCCACCAGAGGAGTATGGCCCAATGATAATGTGACTTAACTCTGGACTGGCTGATATTTGGGTTTTACATGTGGCTCCTACATGTAACCCATGGTTGCAAGGCTTTTCCCTCATAATCCACCTCGATAATTTCTGCTCTTGGAGGTCTTAGCCCATTTAGATGGCATGTGTTACTGATATGTTTACACTTGAACACACCTTTGTATTTTATGCTTTGTCCCCCTTTCAGAGTTTGGGGATGGTTGACTGGGTTTGATTTTTGTTTTCCTTCTTTCCTGCCATGTTTTGGATTGGCTGTGGAGTATTTTTTGTTGTTTTTGTATTTTTTTCATACTCCACTTCTCCCAGTGTTATCTAGATGGAAAGACATTTGAATTTACAGTCCTCTTTGGAAGATTTTGGTATTCTTTTCCCAAATTGATAAAGACGAATTAGGAAAGAAGCCAAAATTTTTGACAAGCTGGATTAATAAAATTGGCCTAATTCATTAATATAAACTCACTGCACTGCAGGACTGCTGTTTGCACGAATCCGCAGAACAGTGGCCTCACTGAATAAGCCCCCGAACAAGTTTAAACAGATGTAAACATACTGAAATTACATGGAATGTGTTCTCTGACCACAGTTTACCTTCTTGACCAGAGTCAAATAGCAAGTCCTAGATGGTTTTATGTATTCAAAAAGTAGTGATTATACTATGAAAACTAATGCAAGTGACTAGCCTGTGGTAAAATACCAATGCAAAAAGAAAGCACATATAACCTGACTCTGGAATGAAAGAAGACATCACTGTCAGCATTATGGCCTGCAAAAGGTAACAAGATGATGCAAGGAACTTTTTGTCAAGACCCTGAAAACTAAAGCATAAGACACATTGCAAGCAAATAGAAAACATGAGTAGTTTTATACCACTGAAAAAGGTGTACCATAAAACACCTTCCTTCAGAAGAAACCAAGGGTCTCATGGTTTACCCAAAGAGTAGAAATAACCAAAGTAATCCAGAGAAATGGAGCTCTGGGTTCCAGCTCAGTATGAGGCTACCTACCTCAACCTTGAAGCCAAAACTTGCTGACAATCCAGGAGGATGTCAGCACCAGCGTCAGAGTCCAAGCCAAAATTTCATCATAACACCAACAACCAGTCATACATTATTAGGACAGAAAGTCATGATCACAGTGGGTTGGTTGTGAGATCTAAAACTGATTTTAACATCTGAAAATCACCATTGGTAATACACCACTGTCATAAACCAAAGGAGAAAATCACACAATTAGTAGTTTCAGAGAGGATGACCACTTAAAGCTATTGCACACCTTGAGACCAAGCACGCAGAGACCAGCCTGGTCTATATAGTGGGTTCCTACATTGAGTTCCAGGCCAGCCAGATCTACACAGTGAGACGCTGGCTCAAAAACTAAAAGGATAGGTAGGAAAGCACCTACAGGAACTGTTGTATTTATTCATTTGTGCCATTGAAATGTATATTGTCCCTAAATGTAAATGCCACCTCTTCAGTTATGACCTCCCTGACCACTATATTAAAACTGTAATGTGGCCACAGCCCTCCTTATCCCTCTTCAGCTATACTTTCCTTAGAAGCATTAGCTGATGAGGTGCTATTGCATTTACTCGTCTTGCTAGTCCCTGTGTTCTTTATAGATTATGTGACTTTGTCTGCTACTGCTACTTCCACAGTACCTGACACAACAGATGCACAGTATTTTACTTATTTTTATGTTTATATGCCTGTGTGGGTTTGTGTGTACCAGGTACATGCACGTGCCCTCAGAAGCCAGAGGAAGGCTTTGGACCCCCTGGAAGTGGGGTCACAAGCAGTTGTGAGCTGCTTAATGTGGGTGCTGGAAACCAAATCCAGTCCTCCACAAGAGCAGTGTTTTAATTGCTGAGCCATCTCTTGAACCCACACAATAAACATTTAAAATAAATCCAGTGCCTCTAAATAATAGAGTGAACCCATTAATCTTTTTATATTAAAGAAAATGGTTGGAAAGATGGCTTAGTGGTTTAGAATATTTATTGTTGATGCAAAGGACCTGGGTTTGGTTCCCAGCACCCACATAACAGATCATAGCCATCTATAACTCCAGTTTCTGGGGCATCTAACACCCTTCTAATCACTATGGGCATAAGACTTACATGTGGTGCATAGACATATATCCAGGCAAACACTCAAACACAAAGTTAAAAATAAAAAAGAAAAGTTGGGTATGATGACACACATAGCTGTAAACCTAGTACTTCTGAGATGAGACAAGAGGATCAGGAGTTTAAGGCCAACATTGGTCACTCAAAAAGTTCAAGTCTAGCCTAGGATATGTGAGGAGGGAGTGAGGGAGGGAGAGAGGGAGGAAAGGAGGAAAAGAGGGAGAAAGGAAGAGGAGAAGGGAGGGAGGAAGGAAAGAAGGAAGGAAGGAAGGAAGGAAGGAAAGAAGGAAGGAAGGAAGGAAGGAAGGAAGGAAGGAAGGAAGGAAGGAAAAAGCAACAGGTGTATCACCACAGAGCCCTGAAGAACCCAGGGCCTTCGGGTCTATGGCAGAAGCCAATAATCAGATGTATTAATTGGGCATGGAATACACTAAGCAAGCAGGGATTGTGGAGGAGGGAAGGGAAGAAATGTGGATTAGCTGGAACCCATGACCCTTGATAAGATGCTTTTTATTAAATCTGGCAAGGATGTTAACCGAAACCACAGTTGTCCAAACTTCCCAAGAGTCTTTGCTCTTCTGCAACTATGGTGACCCAAACATATTACTGGGTATTATGAGTGAATACACAGGGGCTCTGAAGTATCTAGCACAAGCTAAGTGCTGCAGCTATCAGGTGCTATCATCCAGAAGATTATTCTACCCACTCCCTTCCACACCCCTACCGCACCCCACACACACGCCCCTACTCCATCCCCACCACCAAGAAACCAGAGAAAATAAATTTTAGAAGAAAAATCTGCTTTCCATGAAAGATGAGACTTAACAACTTTTATCCTCAGTGAGGCATCTCACTATTATAGTCTCAAATGGTCTCAGACTTGTTATTTTTCTGCCTCAGGTTCATGAGTGCCAGGATTGCAACCTGCAGTGTTACATTCAATCATAACTGTGACTCTTAATGCTCTACAGCATCTCAGGAACCCTTTAGCTCAGCACTGTGGGACCTAGCTCAGCTCAGCACAGTGTGGTCAGCTCTTTGGAAAAATGGAATATCCTATACCAGTGCCCAAGATGGCCTTCACAGTCCTGGGCTGGGCCCCTTGAGTCTGCAGGATGACAAGGTGGGGTCTTAGTGGCACCTTTTCACGGGTCTCTTCTCCCAGTATCCTCATCCTCTGTGTTGGCTGCTCTCCCAGTAAGTCAGCTTTCCCTTTCAGGT